ATTGTAGTGGCATTAAGTGCCGAAATGTGCACCTCTGTCTACCCCTTCGGGGATAAAAAGGCGTGATGTAATGTTATGTTTTATTGTATTGAAATTGCATTGACATTGAGATTGGTTACAAGAGTAAGCGCCTTGGTTGGTGATGTTTAGGTATTAAAAACCTCCCCTTTATCTTTTCAGAGACCAGACTTCGTACAACAAGTTAGCACACAGTTAGAAGAATCTTCTAAGCAGCAGATAACTGAGAAGTTGTCAGTTAGTGCTATAACTGATGTGTTAGTCAAAAAGATCAGTCCAACCGATGCCAAGACACTTTTAAACAGAGTGTTGGAGAATCAGTGGAATAAAACCTCGAATGAAAACCGCACTAGTAAAGAATTATCGTTTATTCGAGAATTTATGTGCGAGAGGTTTGACTCCAAAGATTTGATACTTTTCTGTAGTGAGGTACTGAAATCTGTGTATGATAAACCTGCTTCGCCTAAGTTTTGATGCTTTTATTGTAGAGTTTATGTTTGGCCATGTACGGCTTTGTGTTGATTGTGGCCTCACCGGCTTGCACGACTGTTTGTATTGTAATATACAATTAGCACTTTTTACCAAATGTGGATCGTATCTCGTCGCCATACTTACGACGTCACTATAATCGCTTCATGCATTTTTTTGAGACCTGCGATTGTTTAGCGTTCTTTGTAACATTAAATCTCATTGAAATATATATTTTATCCTATACACCAGTAACAAGTTGTATTGTGATGTGTGTATGTGTATGTATTGATGTAATGTATGTGTTTAAAAAGTCGCATATTGTTTGATGAATGCGATGTTTTATTATCGTAATATTAGTTTTAGTTAATTCTTGTACCTAATTGTGATAGATATATTTGAATTCGAAGATAATTCAATAAAAAACAAATATAATAAAACTATTTTTTATTTAATGTAAAACAGGTAATATTTACATTATTCAGTCATGATGAGGACCGCTAGCGGTCACAAACATTAATCTTACATAACACATGGAACAAACACTAGAGTCACTTGTTTTTATCACCACTAATGCAATGACAGAACATGCGATGACAGACAACATATTTTAATTTTATGTATTTGTAAGACATAGAGTAAAATATTAGTTGTAGAATAGCAGTAAATATAATAGGTAAGAGAGATGGAACATGGCATCGAGACATTATCACAACAAATATTTACAGCAACCCATAGGTAGGTAAAGGTTAAAGCTTTATTTGTAAAGGAAGACTTAAAATGTTTCATATATTGGCACAATATTAACTTTGTTTTAGGAAACTGTTCGATAGTTGTGCTGTCCATTTTTTAATATAGGTATATTTTATTACAGTAGAAAAATAGCACAGCTATTTACTCTGAAGGTAAGAAAATAAGATGGATTCAGTACGGAGACAGTATCTATTATTGTACTAAATATTGTTTTTCACCAAGCCACATCTGTAGCCATTGGTCGGTTCAGTAGGCAACCAATGGTTACTATATCTGTATTGAATCAATCTGCATAATAAATAGCTGTGCTAACTACATAAGTAACGCGAACTGATTATAACCACCGATTATTAAATGTTTGATTTGTTTTAAAAGATAGTTAATAAAATGCAACTGTTTCCATAAAGTTGTTATTGCGCCTTCGCCTTACACACTTATTTACACACCTTCTTATATATCACCCATCCCATATTTATATCACACTAAAAAGACGTTTTATATAATAATAGACCTTATTGATGCCAAATTATGTTTGATTGTTGCAAGCAAGTGCTGACTGAATTGCTAGAGTAGTTATTTGCTTAAGTTGTAGGAACTAGTTACGTTGTAATAAATTATTTTACAAACAAGTTACATGTTTCACTTGCTCCTTTTCATATTTGCATTATGTAGTTTGATTTATGTCGGTCATTATAGGCCACTCCCTCATTTTGCTTATTGCTTTGTACATAATGCATAGAAGGCTGAAATGATCCAATGATTACTTTCCTTTTTTGCATTGACACAATGATCAATGATAGTAGTGTTGCTTGAATTGATTTTCAATAATTTTTGTTTGTTTTCTATTATTTTAACATGCACAACAAAATATATTTTTTCGGCGGCCTTTCACAATATTATACTAGGCATTTAGCGATAATCAATAACCTCTCCTTATTCAGCCTTGTACCAAAATCTCGAAATACTTATAAAACTACCAGTTACATACATTCACTAAGATTATAATATAATTACATACATTTTGTCTCCCGAATCAATAACTTACTTACAGATAATGTCGTTATTGAACCGATCGTACTTTGGTGTACTACTGAGCTTTTATACGCTTGAATATAAACCTTACATAGATAATAGTATATACTTTTGTAACACTGTCTACCCACAGCTCACTCCGTAAGGTACTTATGATTTTAAGATAATTAATCTATTTACCTATACCAAACACCGCTGTGGAGTGTGTAGGTAGACCGTGGTCATAGATATTTTGATTTTGGCATAAGGCTTTTAGTCAAAGCTCCATTTGGGTACCTATATATTCTTAAATTACACAATGATAACAAGTTTGTATCACTCCCGAACAACACTTCACACCTTCAAGATAAAGTGTTCATACAATATTGTTCTTCACTTCTAGGAAATTAGACTACAAATTTCGTTTTTACGAAAGTAGCATAATACTTTGGTCCATAAATTGAGCACTCGAGTTAATTTAAACATTATTTAGAGAGGTAAGCGGTCACTGTCAGGGAAAACGCATTTCTGCGACGTAGTCTAAATGTTCTAAGTTATGGTGAGAGTTGGAGCGGCGAGGAGCCCGCGACCTGTGGATGTTGTGGTGAGAGTGAGCTCGCGTCACTCTGTAGGTACCCTCGCGACGCTGCCCGGCGTCGCTAGATTTTCGCGTTGATGAGACCCAGTCATCATCGCGCGTCCGGGACACTGTCGGAGGTTTCCGGTAATTTTCGAAAACTCGACGATTGTCTTCATAGCGCTGTCGTTGCCAATTACGATCCATATCGTGGCCATAAAGATCTAGTTCGCCGGAAGGCTGGAACTGGCTTGAAGAGTTCTGACAATAACTAGATCGTTTCCAGCCGTCGTCGTATTTCTTACGGCTATTCTCATCATCACCTATTTGCCGCCGTTGTGACTGGTTGGAACTACTTTCGCTGGTGTCTTCACCTGATGTGCCTATTCCTAGATCCTTGTCATCGCCATAGATCTTGTAAATGCCATTAGGATTTAAATTCTTTCCGTTGTATATTTGGTCATTTAAGACAAGCTGTGGGTGTGGTATACAGTAGGGATTTGGGTAACATTTTTCTAGCTTTGCCATTTTGATGTCATCTTTCTTTCGGGTACAAGAACCAGGACCGAACAGTGATAAGAGGACTGGAAGTAGGAAGAGGCCATGCATAGCTCCAAAGAATATTACCATGAATACCATTTTGAAGAAAACTGAGAAAATGTAACTGTCAGCTAAGAGCAATGCTATTACACCGAGAATTGTACTGAATGAGCCTTGAACAATGGGTAATCCGAGGGAATAGAGACATTCGCTAACTTTGTCGTCAGGGGACTTTGCTTTAGATGCCATGTAGGCGTAGCAGATATGAGCAGTGAAATCAACAGAGAAACCAATGCACATAATCAAGTTAATCATTGAGATTGAGTCTAGATTGATATCCCAAAGTGCCATGTAGCCTACAACACCGATTTCAATGGATATGATACTGAATGCGACCCACAAAGAGCAGAGGATATTGGGGATGAATACAAAGGACGTGATCATCATCATGAGGGCTCCGTAGCACAGGTTCTGAAGAGATGTCGGTTTTACGAGTTCAAACTGAAAAGAAACAAATATGCATGTTAGTCGAGCATTTTACACGAAGTATTTTTAATATAGATACAAGCGACAATGTATTCAAACGTACCTGATCAAAAAATACGAAATATGGATGGAATACGGAGGCGTTCAAAGGAGATTGAGCAACAACTTCTCTCAGTGCTTTGACCATCTCCTTTTCGTGGTTGGTTCCACTGATGTTAACTGCTTGAACTAGGAACCTTGAGGCAACAATACGGTTGCCTGCCTCGTTGAATCTTACGTCCAGAGAGAATGGGTTTGCTGGGAACAGCCATAACTGAAAAGAAAATAAGGGCAATGTGAATAAGGCGAAATATTGAAAAAGTATTTAAGCCGATCACATGCTATAGTGATCACTACTGTCTAATTAATTCTATTTTGTACTCACTTCTTTAAGGTTCTGAATGAATTCATCCTCATTATCGATAGTCACGTTCAAGTAATCGTTATTTCTCGATACATAATCAACGAATGTTCGAAGCCAAGACTCCGTATACAGTGAATTTGAGATGTACGATGTATTCTCCAAGCTCTTCGTTAAGGCTTCCACTTGATCTTGTATCATTGGATCAGAATAATTGTATTCGCCGCTAATAACCACCTGGAATGGAGCGAGAAAATTAGTTATTGTATTCCGATGACGTCATTATACAAATTGTAGTTGACGCAGACATATTGGAAGCAGTTCCATTCAATATCATTTGAAATTCAATGAGCCTTTCCTGGTGATCTCTAAAGGTTAAATAATTTTCAAGTTCTTACCTGAATTCTATAAGGGAATTCTCTGTAATACAGATCTTCACGATCAAAGAACTCAACAGAGTATGAATCCACTTTGGACAATTTCCTTCTTTCTAGCCCTTCTTTGAGATTGGTCACTCCGTATCCTGCTCCTGCTAGGTATGCAATGAAGACCACGATAACTAGGGTTTTCACGTAGCCGTTGTTCAATAAATCTGCCATTGTTGTGCGGAAGAAAGCCATGATGCAGTGTTCCTTGTTATCTATTGGATTGTCAGGGTCAGCTGCGTCAATACCTCCGCTACAGAACATTCTGTATAACCATGATTTTTCTTCTGTAACGAAAAGAATATTGTTAAGTAGGCCGGAAAAAGTTAGGTTAATAGAAAGTGGTCATGTCACAAAATGGTTTGTTACCGTACCTTTCCTGGCTCTTGATTCGGGCAGCACTTTCATCCAAGTTATCGTATGTCTGTTTTGTTTTTCGCGATAGCCTGATATTGCTACGCATCCAGCGAAGAATGTCAGATGCCATACAAATGTGAAGCAAACGGCGAGACCTGCAAATAAACATTGGTGAATTAGTAAGTACGAAGAAACATAAGGAAACTTTAGTGCAAAAAAATATTGTCACTAGTAAATAGTTTTGCAACTTCATTGTCCACGTGTTTCCCTCTGAGTTTGTTTCGGCATTCCTTCTCAGAGTAGGTAATTAGGAAACGTCGGCCTCATCTAGTTCTTTTTTTTAAATTACCCTGTAAAAGTGGTACCTTGTATTGTATTTACAGAAATAAATTCACTTGTTTCATTTAGTACAAACCTGAATACATGCAGAATATTTGCACCGACGGGAACGGAGAGAAGATACCAATAAAAAAGGAGAGCATATCCGTAACGGAGGTTATTGTGATGGATACAGCTGCCTCTGACAACATGATAGCCATCCTCTCGGGTACTGGAAGCTTCGGAGATGCTCGTCTCCACGCCGCCAACATCACGAATGTATCGTCAATCCCGATACCTGGAACATGGAAATACAAAATATTAAAGACATGAGAATATGTGGTTAAAATGGCGTCAGAAGTTATTCATTGTTAGTTATGCATAAAAGGTGGAAAACGTGACAAAGAAATCACATGTCTTGGTAAAGTAATAAAACCAATTGTGATGTAAGGAGTTCCGAAATAGAATACCGTCTGACAAAGCAACTTTTCAAAGGGGAAATCCAGAATAAAAAATACAAGGTCATGTTTACTTACCAATCATTAAGAAGGGTGCAGCTAAGTTAATGCCAATGAAGGAAATGCCTAAATATATGGCGCATCCAAACGCTGCCGCAGTTGCCATCACAGCAGATATGTTGCCCAGCAAACCTAACCATGGTTTTGAGCGAACCCAGTCGCCCATCATACACGTGACTATGGAGAATATTCCCATGAGAATGAAAGTGGAGCTGAAAAATGGAATGACGGTTCTCGTGTTCTTTTCTAGTTCGTGGTCGAGGGTTCGTGATGCAAAACGAGCGACGGAGATATGTTTGAAGCGACCGGTGTCTTCCGCTATACCGACTGTGTCCAGAAAAGCATCTTCCCAAGCTGCACCTCTGTAAAAGTAGAAAAATATATTTCATCAGATTTTTATAAACCTTTAGAGAGGAAACATACGCTTTACGAAATATTGACTCACAATTTGTTCAATTCTCTACCTTTCCATTCTCATTCTAGTTCAATATTACGCAGTGGTTTTTTAAAAGCGTGTCAAGATCGAAGCCTATTATCTAAGTTATAACGTTGTTTGTTTACGCAAATTGTAATGCTATTGAAATTCAAAACAAGTCATAGTAAAGCTAAATGAAGCAGAGTAAACATAATAAATAGGTACTATTAAGAAACGATAGAAACGTTTATTGTTTCCTTCCAAAAAATAATGACTGCTACAACAATCATCTCTTCCTTAAATTGCATGCGTGGCTATTCTAATTATTTCACAGTTACGTTATTTTATAAAGGATATCCTCTATTTCATGTAAGATAATACTGATCTACGCACGATTCTTCAGTCCGACTGTAAAATTATAATTGAAGTTGTTTGTAGGCCGTAACACTAGACGTTAATAAAAATTATTCCTCACCTTCCTTCCAATTGTGCTTTAGTGTCAGTTCTCACAAACCAAACTAGCTGTACCGCCGGCACTGATTCTATGATGTCATCCACCACTTTGGAGCCTCCGAAGAACACTGGGAATGCGTGGGCTTCCCATGTTACAGGATTGAACATTATGGGAAATGTCAAGTTTAGTTCGCCTCGTTCTACCTGTAAGACAAGAAACAAATCATGAATCAACCGATTGAGAAAGGGCTCAAAGGGCCCTACGGTGTGTCTATTTGATGTTCTCAAATACGCAATCGCAAATCGTTGAGTCAATCTAATAGAAGCCATAATCATCTATTCATTCAATATCGTTACGTATGGACCGTTTAATGTCCACGGAAGTCTGTTGTCAGTTTGCTAACAAACAGGGATAGACAAAAAAGGTCATCAATAGTTGTACCTACAGGTACTTAACAGATAAATGTATTTTTCGTGCGCTTGCGATTATAACTACGTGTACTTAGTTCCTCTACCTTGTTGGCCTTAGCAGTTCGCCGGAAAAGCGCTAAGCTAAACGATTCTCTGCGAAGGCGATAGAGGTTAAAAGTACCTACCAATCTCTCAATGTAAAGGTTCTATTATGTACTTCAAAGGACCGTCATGTTTTGTGAAGGCATGACATTCGCCTAGTCACACGTACAAAGAATTTCCATTAACTACGCCATGAGACATGAGCAATCCTTGTGGGCACAAGATCTCTAGAGAAGGATGCTTTGAATATAAATGATGGATGACACATTGTTAATATTGTTATGCTTTGTAACCGACTAATTGTAGAGGTTGATGATAAAAGTTGTGGTATTTTTATATTGTTGTTATAATAACAATAGGAATGTTGTTTCAAAACCATGTGTGTAATCTTAAAGCGTGTATTTGCCTAATATTGCAGTAACTGAAAATTATACCGTAACCAAATTGCGTTCGTTGCTATTTGTCATTGTTTGTTTTATGTCTAGGAAAGGCACATTACGATGGTATGATGTAAGATGCACTGTGTTATAATAAGTATGACTATTTACTTCATAAAACTATGACTGTAATTACGCTTATCCAGTGATCGTGATATTCCTTCCTAATCTATGCCGCAAGGGTCTTTTTTATTTTACAACGCGTTAGTAATAATTTACATAACATAACTTCACGCCTTTTATCCTCGAAGGGGTAGGCAGAGGTGCACATTACAGCACTCAATGCCACTGTACAATGTAGCACCCACTTTTCGCTATTTTATGTTATGAGTCCCATGTAATAGGGGGTGAGCCTATTGCTATATACCGGGTACAATTCCTTATACATTTCAAAATTTTTCTGTACAATATTTTTTTCTATATCACAGATCCGTTAATTTTCATCATGTCAATAGTTAATGCAGTAGAATTTGCATTTATGAAAATTATATATTTTTGTACTTATTTACGCACTCAAGGGTCGACGTTCATAGTCGATGTTAAACAATGTGAACATTGCCAGCTATGTTTGTGGTCTGCGGTCAAAAGTGCATAATGCCTATGAGTGGAACTGTTAGATATCTGCACTATTGTTATTTGATTTTTCTTTGTACGCAGTGATTCAGTGAACCTGAACTTGCCTTGACTCAGTCTGTGGATTCGGTATGAATTGAATGTCAAGCAGGTGTCAAAAACCCATGATATTGATGCGAATTTCCTGATAGCGTCAATGTCATTGACATGGTTCGCCATTGACGGCATTGTATTGTATTCATTGGGCAAAAACCCCAGGATTTTTATTTGGCTGAAGATAGTAGTTAGATAGATCGAATCTGTCTTGTTTTTCTTTTTCGTCTAATTCCGAATCGTTCGTATTCGGAACACGAAATCAATTTAGTTGATTCGGAATTCAATAAAATCGTCGCGTTCATATGAAGTCTATTTCGATAGCGTGGGAGCCGTAAATCTATTTATTTTCTTTTTGCAATTTTCTGTGCAATTTTGAAATATTTTATTTTTTTATCGAAAGAAAATCGATAAGTTTTGCCCGTCATGCAGCTGCGTCATACAAAGCGTTGTTTTATTGAAACGCATTGCCATCAACGTATGAAATTTAAATTGGTATAAAATTGGTTTATGCGACAGCTGCTGTGTATAAACACCTTGGTTGAATTACGGTGTGTGAAGAGATTACCTAATGTCTTTAGTTATACCTAAGTAGTCCCATTTCTATGTTCAGTGAGGAACATTGTCGACATACCTAACTGCTGCTTCTACGAAACGAAAAGTGCAATCATGGCGTAACTCCTATGAGCAAAAATCAAATTCACACTAAGTAGCTGTAAATAATTTCCCATTGTTCTTTTTTTATTTTGTTAAGAGATCCAAGACGATCCAGTCATGTTTTGTGGACATCTACCTACAGAGTTCATTGTCTTGCTGTTTTCAAGTTTGTCGCGTTTGTAGGTACCTATGTACTTTACTTCTATTGCACAATTATTGGCAAAAACATGTTACTATTCTTATAATTGCGAATTAGCAGTAGTCTCAAAATACTGCTTTATACACGATGACCGAATGTGGACTCTGGAAATAGCAAAGATAGTTAAAAGAGTCACCTGTGTGACTAGGCCTCTATGACCAATTAGGATGATGACAGGGTATGAAAATTAAAAATATAATTAGTCCGTAATGAAAAAATATTAGATACGTATTTTTTTATTTTGTCGTATTACTTATACGACAAAATAAACAATACTTAGATGAAACGAATCAAAGTTTAGGAGTGGTGGCTAAAACGTCATTTCTACGTATAAAATGTACATAGAAGTGACGCCACGCGACATTACAAATCAATATATCGTCGAAAGTATTCGTTTCTGTAAGAAAATAAAAAAATACGTGTCTAATGATTTAAAATAATCTACCAGACGGACTTTAAAATAAAAATTAGGCATCTACCCTATTATTTCTGGTTAAACTGCAACTTATTACCTACTTGAAACGTGAAGGTATCAATAAGTGTAGCGCAATTATGCGCACCTGTTTTTCAAGAAACGTTTTCGAAGAGAAAGTACAAAGAAATCGAAAGCATATTGTTGGTATTTACGTATGAATGTATGTATATGGGACATTTGCGACGTTTTTAGTTTTACTTGACACAATTGCATGTCTTGTTTAACCTAAAGCATAACAGTATAAGTGGTACAAATTACCTCTTGTCATTGTGTAAAGATCCTATCCTATATATTAACTTACTATCTACACGCATATAGGTACATAATCAAAATAGATAAATAAAGAGTTGTTATGTTTTCTAAGAAATGTTTAAGCCTCGTATCCACTAGGCAACATTTGGCGCGCGACACGTGAATCTCAACATCTACGGCAACGCTGCACAACAGCGCGCGACGTTGCCAGCTGCCGCGTAATATGACGCGCGGCTTGTTGTTTGTTTTAGTGCATCGTTAGTTGTTCGTATCCTCGTATCTCTCCTCCTCTATCCTACTCTCATACCACCTCCGTCGTAAACAAATGTTCCGCGTCAACATTCCGCGTTAACAAGTTGCGAAACATGTTAAGCAACATGTCGCGCGGTTTAATGTTGCCTAGTGGATACGAGGCTTTATGAAACAAACATTTCGCAGACGCAAACCTAGCGAATCAGATTGATATTCAGCTTTAATTCACCATGAGATATCGATGTTAATTGTTTTATAGTACTGTGTAAAAAATAACATTGGGTGACAATATTTTGTTAGGTAATATGTACTTATTGTTGTTACAAATCCGCAGACAAGAAGTCTCACAACACATAGAAGATAATGTTTTAATTCACAACAAGGTATTTCCTTTCATTTACCATGAAGACACAAACAGTGTGAAACAATTCTCTTAGCTTGGGATATTGTATTGTATTGATTGTAGCAGAGAGACGCAAATTGTATGTGCGATGTTTTCATTAATGTACCCATGTTCCATGTCACTGCAGAAAATCTTAAGTTAAGCATCCCTACCCCAGCAATGGTCAACAGGGGCTGCGGAGAAATACGAGGAGGTAACGTGGTTCCGGCTCGAAGTAGGAGTTAGAACGAGGTTGTTTTTAGTCAGTAAGAGTCATCAGACTCTAGATGATGTATCTACGTCCTCTCGTTTCACCTAAGGCGGGCTCTTCCCGTCCCGAGTGTCGATTTTGTCCTTTAATAAAGCAATGTCTGCTAAAACAGTCTGCAATAAAGAATGAAATTTCTATCTACTACCTACTAGGACCTACGTTTCATTGGAATTATTATGAGATAAATTGGACATAGTCACCTAGCCATCAGAGGACATCATGCGAGGATGTAGCACCGGTACACAAGTAACAGGTTGTTAACTAATCTAAATAAATGTTCAGTATAAATGAAATGATGGTCTTCAGAATTTTCTAGAATCCTATTAGGACGCGGGCTTGGGACTGGGTCGCTTTGCCAAGGTTGTTTTAAATTAGTGTTACAACTGCGACATTCTGGACGCATATTGATTTAACTATTTAGATGGGGTAGGTAGGTACTACATTTTATATAAGCTATCTCTTCATTTACATTTGTTTGAGTCTGGAAATTCTTTGAAATTCAGTCCTTTTCACTAAAATGATATTTTTTTTACCTTAAGTGTTTATGGCTGGCATGATATTTATGATATACAACTACTACCCAATAACTTTTTAAATACTAAAGTAATAAAACTGTTTACATTTGTCGTACCTCGCCAATAATCTTGTCCAAGTTGAGAATGTCGTTGGTGAAGCATTGTCCTTCCCATCGCGCGCATTCTTCCTTGTAAGTGAAGGTGTCTCCGTTCGGCATGGTCACCGTCATGTTTTGGACGAGCTCGTCTAACTGTCGTAACTCCTTCCAAACTTCGGTTCGTAACATATTCGTATTGTTATCCTTCGCCACGATAATTACTCTGCCGAACCGCCCTAAAAGAAAAAAAAAAATTCAAATAGAAATGCATAAGGAATTTGTCTTAACAGTTTCTTAGAAATGAACCACTTCTTTAGTCATATGGGGGACATACCAAAATTTTCTAAGCATTTTGAGGTACTCTGAGGTTGAGCAAGATTTTGGGTAGGTACTGATATTTTTGTTGTAGGTACCTACGTAATAATCCTTAATAACGGCAAGGAGTGAACAACTGTACTCAGTTATTAAATTAATAGGCTTACACCTGTCATTCTATGGATTAACCTTAGTAACATAGCAACTAATAAGTGAGAAACGTTTCAAACCGTCTCAACGAAAATGAACTCACGTAGTTTTAGTTTACAGAACAAAAGCTTGTATTATTCTTTGGCTAGGTAGGTACATACATAGGAACTCGACAAATATTGATCATTTGAAGATGTACTGGCAAAACGCGTTCAAAAGCAACACGACAATTCTAGAACAATTTAACTTTTCAGCCCTAAGTCCATTGATAGATTTGTGATACACATCACTAACATAACACATAACATCACGCCTTTTATGCCCGAAGGGATAGGCACGCTTATACCACTGTACAATTATGCAACACCCACTTTTCACTGTTTATGTTATGAGTCCCATGTGATAGTGGGTGAGCCTATCGCCATGTACCGGGCACAATTCCAGACTCCGTAGGAGCGATCAGACCGCCACAGATGGGGTCCAACAGGGCTGATGTCGATACGGAGCCTCAAAAGAGTTAACGGGTTGCCGGGGCTCCGGCTTGAAGTGTAGAAGTAGGAACGGGGTGGTTTTTAGTCCGTAAGAGTCTATCACACCCTTCTGCCTCACCCGGGCGGGAAAAGTGATTGGACGATTTTCGCTTCTCAAAAAAAAAGAAAAAGACTCCGTGCTACTACTGAGAATTATACAACACTAAAAGGACTATTAAACAGTGAAACGATAAGGTCAGCGAATAATAATAATATAATTAATAATGATCGCATACAATAGTTATGCTATAACTAACCTGCTCGTGTTATTCTTCCAACGTTAAACCGGTGTGAATAATTGACTTTGAAGTTTTCCTCGACTATTCTCCTCTCGTATTTGCCTTGCCCACTGACGGGAGAGAACAGGTATTCTGGGTCCATTTCATAATGGATTCTTTGGTAGCCTGTGATCATGAGTAGTGAGAGGAGGACTGGTATGATGATGAAGTAGCCAGGCTGCCTCCCGACGACCAGACCGAGTTTGTAGAAGGATCTGTTAAGGACATCGTCCACGATTGTCAATCTGCAACCCATCTGTAACAAAGATAATTGGGAATTAGTTGGTTACAATGAATTGTGGATAGTTTAAACATAGATACTGCTGTAAAAACTGAGGTTGGTTTAAAAGTATTGTTTGAAGTCGATTCGTTTCTGTGACTAGGTTAAAGGTCGGTAGATAACTTAGGAAAAACGGCATCTGTTCCTCGCTTACACTAAACCTACTTACGAATTAACTAGCGTTTAAAATACTAGATATATATTGCTATCTATATGTTTTATGTACTATATTTATTTTATTTATTTACACTTTATTGTACACCATAAAAACACCCAGAGAAAAATAAAAATAAAAAAAGTGTGTGTCTTATCGCAGAATGCGATTTCTTACAGACAACCTTTGGATGGAGCCAGTAATCAGGAATTGGAAAAAAGGGGGTCGTCCAGTGTACAATAATAATCCAACTAATAGGGACATACGTTACATAATAATATTACATACCTACATATCAAATAAATAATATATACTTACACTAAAATAAATATTAGGTACTACTATACATAAGTGTGTACTATTGTCCAATTTACAATTTTACCCGACTGAAGGGAGAATACTTTTTCCGATTTTTGTTGACGTTAAGACTCACTTTAGATTGATTTGTATTTCCAGTATCAAAACTTTTTTCAATTATAGGTGAAATCAGAATGTTACTGGGTAGACTTGTAAATGAAGACTTACCACGCTTTAATATATTCCAACCTAATTCCAAGACACTTAAACTATATCCAATTGATAACATAATTGCTCTAAATTACAGTTTACTCAGCATTAGATACGGATTAGCTAGTTCTCAACAATCAAACTGGCCCGATTTTATAATCATTGTACATACATTTGCATTCATAATTATTATAAAACCTGTTACTAATGATATTCCACAAAAGACTAAAGATCGTTTATTTTAACACTCATTAGTTAATTACGAATTGTATGACACAATAGATAAATTGCTTCATCTGATCACTGCTGCATTACGGATTGCAATTACGTTAATAAACGCAAAATAAATTCGTTACTAATGTCTTCCACATTGCATTGACGAATTATTATTACACTATTAGTATATCTACCTATTTACTGGTACTGGGTATAGATAAGTAAAGGCGAACAATAAAGAAGAGAGCCAGATAGTTATATTCTATTACTAAACCAGCTACATTCGCGCAGTTTCACGCGCTCTGCTCGGCGCCTATTGATCGTAGCGTGACGTTTTATAGCCTATAGCCTTCCTCGATAAATGGGCTATCTAACATAATAAGAATGTTTCAAATCGGACCAGGGTGCTTGCTCTTGAAACCAATCTCAATGTCAATGCAATTTCAATACAATAAAATCTTCAATAATTATTCAATATCAACACTATACAACCCCTATCTTAGCTGTTAAAATAGCCTTCAGAGTACGGAATATATAGCCAAACTCAATACCATTTAGTTCATTCAATATCCACGCAATACGGATGCAATGGGCGCTGCAACTAAAGAGTACAAAATATCACAATACCAATGTCGATCGATCGGAATTGGATTTAGTTTTTGAGATTAGAGCGTTGAAACAAACAAAAAAAATATAATAAACTCAGCTTTATATAATAAGTATAATATAGTACAAGATATATGATAAAGCCAAAGGAGATGTATAAAGAAGATATTTATAGGAAAGAGAGGTATGGCAAAAGGTTCGCCCTGAGGCGAAAAATGGAAATACAAATAGGAACCGCTTTAACATAAAACACGAAGGCAAATAAGTATGGAGTCAACGGTCGCCGGAACAAATAATTCTGAAGGACCTAACTATGGGATTATATTCTTAATATTTAGCACTTAATTTAAGTTTATAATATGACGTACTCACTATCTATTTTACTAATAAAAGCATGACATTTCCTTCAGGTAAATACCATACACACTACATGAGTGATAATAAGTTGAGGTTTGATTTAATCCTCGTTTGTAAACAATTCAAATTTTTCTAAATAGGTAGGTTAGTTGAATAATCGTCATGTCAGACTCAAGACATTCACTGCTGAACGTTGGCCTTCCCTAGTGACTTCCACACAAGCCGGTTGGAAGCGACCATCAGCGGGTCCTTTGTCTACCGTTGCTCTGAATCGTGTGGTGTTAAATCCATTTTGATGAAATGATACTCATTGCACCTTAACTATTGCGATTCGAATATTCTGGTTTATAACCAATGTAAGATCTATCCCACAAAAAAGTAACCTACATGAGAACCGATACTACGCCTATTACTTGTGTGGTAGAAAATATTACAAGAACGGAGCATAATGTATTTCAATTTGTATTAACGCTTAGGTTACCGCATTGGACCTGATTGTGGTTTTGAGCTAATCTAGGGTTTGTCTCACAAAACGCTTACTTTGCTACACTTAGCCAGTAGCCTTAAATGTCGAATTTAGTTAAAGTCTATTCCTAATACTTCCTAATTACTTATATAGCAATAAAAATAAAGGTCATATTGCACAGGACCGGGATAACATTATACAAATTATTCTTTTAGTTTAAGTCTAGATACTCGTATCTAGTTTTTGATGCACGCAAAGCAAATATTCATAAGATAGGTCCTACACGAGTCATCAAGTGATAAAAGTATAAATATCAAATTGATATAATAGAAATAACTTCACATAATAACTAGGCCGAATTACCTATATAATCATATGCAATTTAACGAGCCACAGCCTGATTAGCACACACTGAAGGCAATCATTGTTAATGATACCTTTATGAATCATATACTTAGCAGTAAACATTTTTGCAACACCTTTTATGAGCTACAAGTAAAGTAACCTTTTACGGTACTGAAGCTTAGAAGAATACCTAAGTATAATGATTTACGGTGACTCTTAAGGACTGCAATAACTGTGATTACTTGTGGTCGGTTCATAGAGTCTCTTTGCAACGTAGTTTGAGTTTTATACCTCTAATGATGCTTACTGATATAAGTAGGTAGTAAAGACGCCGTAAGAAAACTGTTAGCTCATTTGCTTAATAGGCATAAATTAATAGGGGCTCCGGCTCGACGTGCAGAAGAAGGAACGGGGTGGTTTTTAGTCAGTAAGAGTCTGACACTAGGCGGGAGCAGACATTCGATGATTTTCCCCCCTTAAAAAAAGGCATAAATTTCGGTTTAGCGGTAATAGGTGATCGATGCTGCTCAATCAGGAATAGAATATAACTCTACTAATAAAATTTTTCGTAACAACATTTGAGTTCCCGTAAAGATCAATTTCTTAGCTTTTTGTTGAATCAGTTTAAGCCTTGTCACTCCCGAGCGGATACCGATATCCTTGTGTGACGTCATAGCGCCATGATCGGTTTTGAATCTTAACCAGTGCCAATCAGTGGACATGGCCATTGCCATTCGTCCAAATATCAGCCTTGTGCACTAAAATGCTAGTTAATGCTGTTAATAATAGCCGAAATATTTTCATTTCGGTTAAATAACTGAAACTATATAAAAGAACAAGTGTTTTTGTTAAATCCGTCTCTAATCCGTGAAGTGGAGGTCATCTCACGGTCGCCGACTTTCTTTGCTAAACCATTGCAACACTGAGTCGTAACAGTTACAACAACCAATAGTAATTTGGCCACTGATCGCTTCTTAATATCTAAAGATAAATAGGGGTCAATTCGCAATTAATTTTTTACATTCATAACGACATAACATCACGCCTTTTATCCTAGAAGGGGTAGGCGGTAGGTAGAGGTGCACATTATGCCACTGTACAATGTAACACCCACTTTTTTCACTATTTATGTTAAGAGTCCCATGTAATAGGGGGTGAGCCTATTGCCATATACCTTGCACAATCCGTACTTCTGACTACTGAGATTTTTTTGTAAACCCAGTGATACTTTGCCCGCCCCGGGAATCGATCCCGAGACCCCTTGCCTGGCAGTCGCACTTACGACCACTCGGCCAACGAGGCAGTCTTTGTACATTAATGTTGATGATTATTACTTTATTTCTTCATGCTGAAAATATCGTTCCGCCTTTCGTGTAGTTTAAGCTTCGCTGAAGTCTGATTTATCATTTGACTATCTTAAATAGGTATATCTTGTGTCTTATTCTTACTCGACATTAGGGATATACCACCTTAAGAAGAATCTTGACGTAGGTAAAAACAGATTCGAGAGTATGTCGTTCGTGAAATTGGTTTTCATTTGAGGCCTTAGTACGGAGGCCTTAGTACATGTTTGATTTACGTTTAAAGTATTCGAAACGAGTACGCGTTCGGCGCTGTGATTGGTTGCTTCATTGGTGCCGGCCAATCAGAGCGCCGAACGCGTACTCGTTTCGAATATTTTAAACGTAAATCAAACTCGTACTAAGGCCTCTGAACACTTAACTATGACAGTCACAGTTCATTTACATGTTCTAAGCTTAATATAATTTGGTTAGACAAATCTGATACTGAGTTAAGTCACTACTGACCATCTATCTCTATTTGGCTAAAGGCAAAGAGAAATACCGTGAAAATGTTAATACATACCTACACAAAGAAGTTTCTAAGATAGCTCTCAGCGAGGGAAATTCTTCACTATTTACGAAACTTCACCAAAATCAGCTTGTTTCTTAATAACGACCATATTTATTGGCTTCAAGCCATTTATAAAGTGTAATTAGGTGTGGTCATATCCGCCCAATTTATGTCAGTTAAATTTTTGATGAGAATAAGTTAACATACTTATAATAAATAATTATAATTGTAATTAGTGAAACGCTGATCTATGCAAGACAATATGTTTTCTATTTTGTCTCATATACTTACTGGCTGGCATACAAGTGGATAATTTAAATGGATTAAATTTAAACCACCAAGGGATTTCTGATCTGCCTGACGCAAAGTAGGTAGTTTGAGTAGTATAAAAGTATGATTTGCAAAACCAAAGGATCCACTAGAATCGGCGGTCAGTATCTAAGTCTAGATTTTGTTAAGAAGAAAGTTCAC